GCCAGTGATTTAAGTTGTATGAGTTTAATTAGTAAAATGACCCAGGCCCTACAAAATACTCAATAAAGAGCAGCAAGTAGAAATGGACAAAAACCAGCCAGTTCTGGTTTAAACTGCATTTTAGGAAAAACCTCAAGGAAAAAAAAACAGGTGAGATACCATCTGCACTGCTTAATAGTAAAAGGGTAGCTACCAGATAGAGGAAGGGTTTGCAAGTTACCTCCTTTTGTCTGTTCACTGGCATTTTAAATAAAAAGTGAGAAAAACATCTCAGACTAATAATGGTATTCTATTGAATGAAAACATAACCACGAGGCATTGAGTTGTGGCAAGTAGTGTCTTGAGAAAGTTAATACTAACAAATATGAATATTTATATTTTTAGTTCACTGCAGTGAAGAACTGGAAGAGGCATGCAATTACAGTTGAAAAGGGAGCTTCTTATTTAAACAGATCCTAACTACAGACATGTCAGATTGCAAATTCAGGTTTATTCCCACCTAAAGAAGTACTCAAGGCTTTTAGCAATGTATTATTAGTATTTTTAAATATGTGAGAAAAATATGTTTTAGATTTCTCATAAGGTTTCCCAGCAACATTTTTTCCTTCTCCTATGTTTTTTCCTTAAGGATATTGGTGACCACTGATTACAAAAAGGAATGCAGTAACTGCTGTAGGTTTTAGAAATGCAATGCACTGCCAACCCCAAATTCCCCATCTCATGTTTTGTGCTTACTTTAAGTTATAAATTTATTTTTCCCCCCACTGCTATTTTTTTCCAACTATAACCTTGTGTTTTATTTTTAAAAAACACATCAGTAATTCAAAAGTTTGGGATTCCATCTTTTGATATGATCAAAATAAGCCACCAACTACAAAGATTCATCATGATGACTAAGAGTAAAGCAAAAATTCATTACTTCATTTCTTTTATTTCATTAAAAGGCTAAGAAAATGGTGGAGTAATTTTCAGTACTGTGTCTTATCTTTCAAATGTCTTAATAAAACAGAAATAGCTTTAAACTGTTGAACGCCAATGTGTTTTTTGACTCAGAGAAATATTATTTTATTTACAAATAAATTAAATAATGGATCCAACTTCAACATGGCCCTCCTCTAAATAATATAGTAAAAGAGGAGGCATAAGGAAATGCATATTAATAATAATGTGAGAGAAAGCTATTAAAAATAAAGATGGCTATGCCACATTTCAAGCTACAGAATGTACTCTTTTCTTGGTACCAGATGGACATGGCAACAAATGTACAGGGGTTTTTCTTGCATGCATGTGGCTACTGCTCACTTATGGCACCACTAGGAAGATAACACAAAGGATTTCTGAATGCTAGAGATAATAAAAGGATAGTATTGCATATGCAGGTGGCCCACATTTCTAGATGGTATTTCTCACAATAAATTTATAATTGCAGAAAGCAGAACATTTCACATCTTGATGTCTTCCAAGGAACATCATGTACGTCCTTTAATACTGTTCAACAAGACAACATCAACATGTAGCATAAGATACACATAAATTGTTACCTAACTACAGACATATGTAAAATGCTCAGATAATTCTGAAATAACTTTAAAATAAAAAAAGCAAATGGAGATTCATGTTACAAATAATTATATTTTTGTTAGTTTTGGGGAAAGATATCCAGATTCCTTTTCTTGGGTGGGGAGGGGTGTTAATGTCAACAAAATTAAAAATCTATAAATATACTCCATATGCACAAGTTCCACAAAACCTCAAGTGCTCAGTACCCATCACACCACAGCCCTATCAGTTTGGGCTCTTTTGTACAAATTACAGAAAGTGTCTGTCATTACTTGCTTCAAAAATAAGAAAAATCTAATACTGTTCACTTTTACCATTTTCATCTTTCAAGACAACATTTTCTGTTTTACTCCAAATCACAGCAAGAAAAAAAGCAAATTCCAAAACTTGCACTGCCTTGTTGCTGTGTATGTTGTCTGAACCATCATAACTTGGCAACTCATCATTAGCAAGGAGTCAGCCCTACAAATAATCCTGACTCTGCTTTGAGAGATCTCAGAGCCAAGAGCACTCAAAGAGCCAACAAAGTTGGCAAGAAAACACATTGTCTTCTCTCTAATCTTGTTTAGAATGCATGGAATAAGAGAACAAAAAAATTATATATATTTGAAGCAGCATTGATTTTATATTTTTTAAAGTGTATCTGACTGTCATCTTCAATCACATTTTATAACCAACCATGCTATATATCCTTCTGAACCACTTCCAAATTCCTTAGGGTTTGCTAACTATTATTAGAAGTAAACTCGTTCTGCCTGAAGAAAAGATGGCTTAGGGACATTCTAAGAGTAGCTTTGCAGTATCAAAGAGAATCCACAGCACAGCTTTTTATGGAGGTGCATCCTCAGAAGACAAAATTTTTCTCAGTGGCAGACAGGCATTGGAGCTAGCAACTAAGAGAAGTTGTGTAACCTCTGTCGTTGATTTCTTTTAAAACAAACTGAACAAAAACCTGCTCTGAACTCCATCTTCACCCTGCTTTGAGCAATAAGTTGGACTAGATGACCTACATGACCTCCTGAATACAATTATGGAGTAAGTTAAGAAGGTAATTTAAGCAGTATTTAAGTTAGCAGCAGCTGTCTAAAATAAATGCATTTTTCCCCCTACTCTGACAAGCTAGATTGTACCTACCATTAAATGTAACAGCTCTTAAAATTTTCAAACATTACTGTTCATTGTAGGAAAGTGTAACATAATTTTCTTTAAGAGAGAGATAAGTCTTTGCAGACCCCTCAGATTGTCTTTATTCCTCAATAAAAGCTGGGAAAAAGATAAGCAAGGGTCTCTTGGGCATTCTGTTTCATATTAATGGCAGGTACTACTAAGATCACAAAGCCACACTCAGATGCCAAGCAACTTGAGGGAAGAAAGAGAAGAACAAAGTGGATTATTTGTTTAGTACAACAGGCTTTTGTTTGGATATTTTAACTTCAGTGTAACAGAAATGCCAGATGGCACCAGATACATACAGGAGAATGTTCATTTTGCATGCATATTAAAGGAGAGCAGAGATTTAAAGGTAGGCCCAAGGAAGTCTAAGCATGGATACCACCAGAACTAGGATGCCTCCTGGACTTTAACTCACACATTAGAAGCAGTAATGTTATCAGGGGAAGTGCTTGTTACCAGTAACTGCTTTCTCTGCAAAACCCAGACTACAGGATACACATATAACAGATGAACAGATTACCTCAGATCCTTAAAATTAGCAAGCCTTTGTGCTTCACTTCTCATGCTAAAGTTTCTGATTTAGAGAAGTCTATATAATGATTCATGAACACCGTAAAATATCCTTCAGGCTGACCAGAGGATGTAGGATTTTCACTGTATAATCTAGCAGGGGAGACAAGATGGTCCACTCAGTTCTGGAAAGCTGGAAGATGCTGACCTTTCAAAAAATATTGACATGACAAAAACTATAATTCAGCAATCAAGAGTTGCCATATCCAAAGCAGATGCATTAAACCAGAGCTTCATATGAGCAAAGGCCAGCCAGATCCACTTTACCGGCCTACTAGAGGGCAATCTTGTGTGCCAGATAGGCAGGCTTTCTGGAGATCTGTACCTGAACACTATCAGAACATGGTCCTGAGACAGTGACCAGAAGTGTAAGAAGCTACATTTAAATATATAATGAAGTGAATACTGTTACTTTTGTCTCTACTAAACACACCATCATTAGTCTTACCTGACACACATAACAATGAGAAAATGATATAATTTGCTACTCTCTTCCCCACTTTTGCTAGAACTGCTGTCCTATTGACTCACCCTTCACAAGTACATCCTTTCAGCACAGGTACCGAACTGTACTATCTCATTTCAGATGCTAGCTCCATTTTTTGAGTATAACTGTCTCAATTAGTTTTAAACTCCAGGTAAACTACAGAAGTTTCATATTTCTTCTTTTGACTTTGCAAAGTAAAGCAGACTAGAAACTAAATTACTATTTTAAGAGACAATGTGTTTTCCCAGTATCTTTCCACCACACACGGGCTAACAATTATGGTTAACTCAATGGTTATACCATTCCATGACTATCTGTCTAAACATTCCTCAGAGCATGAATTCAAGCAAACAACAAATTTTTAATGCCAGAAGAACTCAGACAACTTCATCTACTAGGTACATTTGTCATTTCTGAGGCTGAGCAGACTCACCATCTCATCAAACACTGACACTCTGCAGAAGCTCTATCTGAGGATGAAGGGAAAGGCTCTGCTGGCATACAAAGGACTTGTGGTAACGTACCATTATTCCCTCCCTTCCCCTCACTCTCAGTTCTCCTATTTGGATTACTAACTTCACTGCAGCTTCTGCATAGCTGTACTTCAGGATCATATTTCAGGATGTAATTAGCCCTACCAAAAAACCAAAGGGAAAATGCTTCGGTTGTTTTATTTTCCATGCATAAACTACAACTTACAGTGAAATCATTGCTGTAAATTGACAAAAGAAAAATTTTCCATGCTAAAACTTCCACAAAAAGGTTTGCTCCTTATAGATTATAGGCTATATGGGTAAGAGCAGATTAAGAGAATATTAATTGAAGAAAAAAGTTCTTATTTTAAGAAATGCTTTTCTTTTAAGGCTTCACTTACCAAAATATATTACCTCAGTAAAATAATAAATCTACATGAAAATCATGCCACCTGGAAACTAAATTTCTAAATACATAAGTCAGAACTGAAAAAAATACACAATTTTTTGTGTCTTTTGAAAACACTCCATTTTCCTTTTCCTTATGAAACTGTAAGTACTGAAAGGGAATTTCCAGCTGTGCCTTGTCAGCCTCCAGACCGAACATATTGTGCTGCTTTTCATTTTTGTAAGTGAGCTTTTTAGTTCTCCAAGTAACAGTATTAGCTGCTGCTCTGCACAAAGAACAGAACAGCTCTTTATCCCCAGGGGAAGAAGCTATTTCAGACTTAACTAAGGAATCTTCTAACATGTTTCAACAATCCCTACTGTTTCTGTGTTTGTTTTAAAGATATCACTGTGATTTTGTTCCATTTGCAACTGGAGACTAAATGACACCAAGCAGAATCTGCTGTTAGGTTAGATTACAAGGTAAAATGTTTTACATTTTAAATTACTGCTTAAAGCATGGTGTTGAATGGCTTAAAGTACATGCTAACTTTGCAAATATGTATGAAATAATATTAGATATATTTAGTAATACTGTACAGAACTGCTTTTCTAGATAAAGTATGCAATATCAGTTGATCTGCTTTTTGTTTGGTATGAATGTTTGCCATGCAATTCAAGCTTAAACTAACCGAAAGTGCAATTATTTTTGCCGGTGTGACTAAATGTAACTCATTTCTGTGCAGTATATATAGAGAAGAGTATGTGAAAAACATGGGTAAATCACTTTAACCCCTGTGTACCATGAGAAATAACCTTGACATCTTATAAACATGTTTGAATTTAGACTGAATAGATAAAGATACATTATTTAATAACTTCTGGTACTCTGGTATTTCCAATATATTACTTAATAAATTCTGGAACTGGTATTTCCAAGCAGTCACTACATTAAAAATTAACTATGTCATTAACATAATAGCAAAATGACAGATACTGAACTTACTGAAGATAAACATTTGAAAGCTATAGCTTGAGCACATTACATGAAAAGTAAAGGTAATAAAGATGCTTACACATACTATGCATGATCTAAATAGTTATGAGTAAAATTAAATAAACTATTGCAATGCAGCCATGTTGCGAACATCTGGCCACACAGAGATATAATAATTTCATTGTATTATCTATCTATAATTTTACTTTGATATGTAACCAGTTAGTACAAAAGTCATGTGACTTAAATAGGTTGAATTTTCCCCAAATTAAAAGCTGGCTGGCACTATACTAAACATAACTAACTGCCTAATAGATAACCTGATGATTCCAGCCACAGACAGTAAAGTCCCAATGCATGTAAGGCCTTTTTCATGTGTGACAGTCACAATCTGGGCCTTAAAATGTGAGACAGCACAAACCTAGAAATGCAGCTCAGTATTTATTTTATTTTTATTATTTATTTTTAACCATTTGGTTGAATAGCATCAGATAGCAGTATTAAGCTTTCAGTACTGAAGAGTTAAACTGGGTGTGAAAATATAGCATATAAAGTCACAGGACTAGTTTATTATTATATTATTTGGGTGTGTGTGCTGTGTTTTGTTCTAATTTGTAATGATGAAGTGTTTTATGCAAACAAGTCTTACTTTAAAATAATTTAATTTACTAAAGAGTTTTACTCCATATTGAAGTGAACAGCAAAACCCTGATATATTGTTTGCACAGTAAATGTCACATAGTTCACTTTATACTATCCCCGGCTTTTAAATAATCATGTACAGAGAATGGAAAAGTATTTCAGTCATGCCATTGTATGCCTCTGGTCACAAGAAAAAATGGTTAAATGTTAAAAAAGCACATTGTAACTACATAGCTATGCCATTATTATAAAGTATACTATAAAAATGTAACCATAATTAAGATGTCACTAAGTCAAGAGAATGAATACACGTGCTCAAGACTTTTCTTTGTATACGCAGTTTTCCCTAAGGACTCTTTGTGTGTTCCATTCAAATTTGTGGAACAGAAGTTTACTGTGTAATTTTATAGCCAGTCATTACCATGCAAGCCAGTTAGAAACCAAAAACATTAGGTCATTTCTAACGCAATCTAAGGTACTAAGACACAGGCACTTTCTGAAAAACACAACACCATCAATGCAGAGTACAAGCTTCTGCATCTGTTTGATATGTTAACTAGAAGTAATTGCTATAAATAAAAGGCCAATACAAACTCTCTATATAATTTTGGAATAACTGATTTCTAATGGGGAGAAACCAGTAAACTAAAGTGTGGATTAATTTCAGAACCCTGCTATTACCTGAGATGTTTTGTGGATTTGTATGAGGCACTTGAATCTCAAATTCCATTTACATATGAATAAAATATTATCTTAGCTTAATAAAATCCTGCAAATTAATATATCTTTGCTATAACATTTTAGAATAAAAATAATTGATCACAGAACATAAAAAAACCCCAGCATACTGTTTTAAGCTTATTCACTGCTGAATTGCCATTTAAAACCAGAATATGAGAATTTTGCTGTGGGAAACATGAAAAATATCCAATCAATCACATGCCTTATGTTAAAGAAGAGTTAGGCAACTTGTATGAAAACCTGACTTATTATATAAATCAGAAAATGCCAATATGCACACATTTTTAAAAAACATCTGATTCAGGTAAAAACAGTTCAAGAAATAATACTATCCTGTATGTATACAAGTAACCATAAAAGGACTAACTCTAAAGTGAAAGATAAAAGCCAGACTGATGAGCATTAAGAAAAAGCATTTTTTTTTATCCCCTCAAGATTTCCTTAGAGAAAAACCATGGACATACTCTAAGGTTTGTCTTGGACACAATGACTAAGTGCTCTAGATCTCAAGTTCTTCACTAATTCTTAACACCTCAAGAGTAGTAGTGTGTTCAGACTCTACCATCTCAGTTAAAATAAGCTGCAGAAAGAGAGTGTTCCCTTTTTGAAAGAATTATGCCAACGGCTTTGACAAATCATTAATAGCTTTGGACATGCATAGCTGTATTTCCTCACTAGTATACTATTGCTGGATATGCTTTCTATGCATATGCCTGAATCCTTACTGCTCTGTTTTGGAATGCCACCTATTGGTGACAGTAAAGGTAATTTTTCTGTCAGAAGTATAAGAAGGTTTAAGATATATAGTTAATTTTAATTTCTTAGAAAATAAATGCACATGTTATAGATCAACTGTTTTAGACCACCTATGCTTAATAAAAACTTCCACTAGAAAAGCGTATGTGGGATGTCACAAATAGTGCTACTGTGAACAAACTTCCAAAAAGTCTCCTCTACTGCAGAATCAAAAACATTTTGTTAGAGGAGGGGATGGTTAGTAATGGGAGCAAAAGCAACATCTCTTTTCATCTATAGTGAAAAATACCTTGCACAGAAATCACAACATATGACAATATGACAGCATATAAGCAATGAACTGGGCATTTCTGTTACTTTGCCATTCCCATGTTCAGAAGTTACAATGACCTGAAATAAATATTAGCAATCAAAAAAGTGAAGAAACAATTCACAGCTTTCAAGATCTCCCTTGCTGGAAGCAGGAGCAATTACTAACCTACAAATACCTGGCGGCACTGGAAAACTAAACTACCTCTTTAACTACAACCCCAAATACAAAGCTAGAACCTGTTTGAATTTAAGTATTGCTCGTATGAACAGAGAACCACAAAACTATAGTTGCTTGCTTTAGCTGTCATAGGGCATAGATTCTTTCAAGGTTATATTGACCTACCCTGTATTGGTCTGCCTGCTTTGAAAAGTGCACCATATGGCTGATATAATACTAAAAGCCCCCTAATTTTCCTCTTCCCATTTCAGGATACTTTGAGACACATAAAAACATGCAAACTTCATCATTAGCCTGTTGTTTCCTGCTTGTCTCTCTGTGCTTTGATTTTTCTCAAAATGAAACCAGTGCACCTCTCAGGAAGCAAAGGAGAAGAATGCGTTACAGAGGATTGAGAAGCTCTTCAGCAGGGCACAGGTCCCCAAGAGAGCCAAGGATGAAGCTTCCAGATCCTGTAGTACCCAGCATACCTCTTGTTAATTTTGATGACAGTGTTATGGGAGTATTTGACTCTCTCATAGGTTTGGGTGGACATGAATCTAGTTACAGTGTCTTACCAGGTAAGAACAGAGCTCCTCTACTAGAGTGAGCCAGTTTTTCTCTTAATTTCTAATGAAACATATAAACTCATGAAAGCTTAATCTTAGCTCTACTTGCAACATATCTTGAACTTTTGTTGCCTTTTATAATTATTTTGTAGTTAACATATGAAGCTGTTTAGTTGTCTATGCCTAAGCCTTACAGAGAATGCTGCTTTGCCAGGTAACAGTAATATTCTCTGCAATTTTCCTGCATTCTTATTTCATTTTAGCTAATAAAAACTTTTTTGGGATATTTTCATAACTTCAAATGTGTAGCAAGTTTGAAGGCCAAGCAAGAATTTCTTGCTCAATATATCTCTTAAATCAATTAATATTTCACTGATGGCGTAACACAAACACCACTAGTATTATTTAAAATGTGTTTACGTTTTTGTTATTGTTGTTGCATTTTAGGAAAGCAGCATTCAAGCTACATCTACATGCAATATTTCAGGAGTAATTATTTATTTTTTACATATAATAAGACACCCTAACAGTTGCAATATGAAACTTACGTTATGAACAAGACCCTTATGATAGAGAAATAAGCTGAGAGAAAAAACACTCACAGAACACAAGATCACTCTTATGCTCTATCTATATCAAGAACCTGTATTTATTTAAAAGAGTCTGAGTAGTATTATTTATGTAAAATTTGCTCTTTTTTTGTGATCTAAAGGTTTACGCATTGCTGCACTAACACTTATGTGAGATGTGGGGAAGATTTGTTGTCTTAAGAAACAAACAAATGCAAAATTTCATGATCTTTACTGAAACCTGCCTTGGTAATCCTGACAGGCCTCCACAGTGAATACATGACTAGACAGGGATCAGGAACTGAGAGTTGTCAAGTGTCTCTTTGGTCCGTAGCACAATAAAGGAAAGGAGAACTCTTGCTCTAGGATGCTCGTGTGTTCAATGTTACAAATGGGAAATTAAAAAACTCCAGTTATTAACCAATTGAAAATTACTGAGATGCTATAACACTTAATTTCTTTTCATAGAGGGCACTACAATGTTGTGAGGAACCACAGAGTCATGTCCACTCTATAGCTAATAGATATAAAGACATGAATACTTCCATTCCAGTACCAAGAGATCATATACTGGATAAAATCATCATCTGCAGTTTTATGAATATAATGAAAACAGTAAGAATGCTCTGATCATCACTGTTCCACAAAAAATAATAATAATCTATTTTTAGAAGCAAAAACTTAAGCCTTTTAGTGTGTCACATAAGAGATGTGGTCACTAGCCTGATAGGTCCCAACTTAAATGGCAAAACATACTGTAGTCACATTTTCTTAACAATTACTAGTTGCTGTGAGTCCTTATTTTCAGAAAGGCCGAACCATTTCATGTATTTAAGAAATTTTAATGGGAAAACTAGAAAACCTCTTGACTATAGCATTTTTTGTATGTACTACAATATTACTCTTATAACACATATTACTAATGTCAAACATGTAATTTAAAAATATTTTTTAAAATTAAACAGAGGAAAATATCACATAAATAGCATACCCTTCACGTAAGATATTCCAGTCTCTGACAGTGACTATCAGTCATGCTGAAATAATGCATGGTTCTCATCCTCCCTTCCCCACCCCGCTTGCTTCTTTCTATTTGGATTTGCATCCAAAAGCTGAACTAAAACCACTGAACTCATTTTATTTGGAACTTCATGCTGAATTTACACCACATTTCCAAAGGTTAAAAGTCCTGTGCTCATCTGCCAAAGACTCGAACCACAAGGTATTTTGTAGTCTAGCTTTTAAAGTTCAAAATTTTTTCAAGTTAATGTCAGATTTGGAAAAACCAGAGCTTATTAAATAATAGAACACTATTATTAATCATGCTTCAGAATGGAAGAAAATGCAATCCTAAATTTTGTTTTCATTCTCCTCATTACCTATTTTGCTCTTAGAAGCCTAAAAGCAATTTACAAATACTATATGCAGGATGAAAATTAACAGTTTAAGAGTAACTGGTCATATCTCCTTCCTCCATGTAAAAATCACATGAACTATTTAAATTAAATCATCAGTTCACCATAATATAAAGATAATATGCAATTCTTTACAGTCTACAGTCTGCCCATTAAGCAGTGTACAATAGGATGTATGCTGTATAGGATGTACATGAAGATGGTCCCAAGGCTAGAGCTCCTCTTCTACAAGCTGAGAGAGTTGGGGCTGTTCAGTCTGGAGAAAAGAAGGCTTCCAGGGAGACCTTAGAGCACCTTCCAGTGCCTGAAGGGGCTACAGAAAAGCTGGGGAGGGACTTTTTATAAGGGCAGGGAGTGACAGGACATGGAGCTATGGCTTTAAATTGGAGGAGTGGGGATTTAGGATAGTCATTAGGTAGAAATTCTCTCCTGCGAGGGTGGTAAGACACTGGAACAAGCTGCACAGGGAAGCTGTGGATGCCTCACTCTTGGAAGTGTTCAAGGTCAGGCTGTATGGGACTTGGAGCAACCTGGTATATAGTGGAAGGTGTCCCTGCCCATGCAGGGGGTTTGGAACTAGATGATCTTTAAGGTCCGTTCCAACACAAACCAGTCTGTGATTCTATAATTCTGTGACTGTCTCTCTTAAACTACATTTCTCCCTGCTGGTACCAGCACACTGAAGTTTAAGAAGCACCTCAACACAATCTTTGTCTCACAGAGGTTTTGTGAATTTCCACAGTGCCCAACAGCAGTTCTGCAAGACAATAAAATGCTACAGAAAAGATAATTTGTTAAAGAAGTCTGCAGAGGCCAAGGCCTGATAACCCATATCTTCACACTTACTCAGACAAGATTTGCACCAACTTCTGATGTCTAGTAGCTAAATCAGAACAAAGATTTAAGGAAGCACAGAAGAATTTTCATCTCAAGCCAGATGTTTCCCTGAAACAGTTGACTGTTATTGTTTAACATGAGAAAGTGTAGCATTCTTTTTATATTTCCTTTGGAGATGATTTAAAAGAAATATTGTGGCTTCCTAGAAAGCACATAAAAAACAAACATCAGGATGCAGCAAACAGCTGGATCACAGATACCTGGGTAGAATGACACAGGACATACAGCCAACTAGCATTTGGCAGGGCTAACTCATCTCCTTCAGCTAGCATGGCTTAAGCTGATTAGAGCACAACTTTCTGTAGCTGAAAAGGTGCATACATATCTTGGATCTTTGAAAAAACAAGATGCAACTGTTAAAAAAAAAAATTAGCTTCTTCTCTTTTCCATCCCAAGATTAAAAAAATCTAAAGGACATTTAAAAAAATATAAGGAATACGGAGGAGCACACAAACAGGATGATTCTGATAGATGATTTTTATTCTAGAAAACAGGTTCATAACCAATGCTTTTTAAATAGAAGGGCAAAGGAATACCTTCATTATGAAGCTGAGAGAGCTGCCTTGAAGGACTTCGCAAAATGTCTGCTTTTGAGTCAAGTATTAATTACAGACACATTTCAAACCGAATATTTGCAATAGTCTTCAGAGGATATTTAGAGACTATCCTGAATAATCTTCTCTTTAAAACTATCCAACCAAGCGCAGACCATTGGGGAGTGTGGGAAAACAAACAATCCCTCCAAAGACAATTGGTCTGTCACAAGTGAAATTCTCTTGCATGGAAATTCATCTGAGAGAAGATTTTTTCGCCATATTAAACAATATTCATCTGATGGAGGAAGTCAAAAAACATAGGGAAAG